TGCTGGTAAGTGGTCCTAACAACACTCCACAATAGAGCTAATTGCCTGATCAGAAGGGAATCATGCTGAAATTATTGAGCTAATGGGGCATTAAATGGGACATGACTACACAATCTTTAATACAGTTTTGTACTATACCGTCCACCTTACCATCAAACAATGAAAAAATTGTGTTAACTTTGCATTCAGGTTGGGAAATCTCAGAGAGTGAAAGGAGCAGATTATGCAATGGAAAGCATCCACTATCTGAGGGAAGCACTACCAGAACTTTGGGAAAATGACAAGATTTGTGAAGTTAATTACTCTGGTGTTGGGGTTGCAGTTGAGACATCCATCACAGCTTAGATTTTATGTAATTCTTAGGAAGGAAGGAAGAAATAAATAAATTATATTCATCTGAATCTACTTATCCCTTTCAACCTTGATCAAATAATATATATATTTTGTTGTTATCATCAGTTTCTCTTGCAATAAATAATCTAGTGATTTGCAGTTCATTTTTGGCTAGGGAGAAAAAATTCAATTATATCTACTTAAAAGTAAAGAAATTTCAATTTAAATAACCATTTTGTTGGTCGAAGTTAGAAACAAGTACATTCGTATCAATATAAGAAAGAAAAGAGTAACACGTCAAAAGATAGTTGGAAAGAAATGGTTTCTAAAAAGTATCAATGATAATCAAAATTGTTTCGAGTTCTAACTCTAAGAACTGAAAAGTTTTCTTAAATTGTAATATATCCATAAAATGGCATTGTTCAAACTGTGGAAGGAAAATATCTTGATTGTTTTTTATTTGGAACACGAATTGCATCAGGAATTAGAACCAAATGTGTATATAAGGAAAATGAAGCCTACTTTACAATTTACCAGCCATGGAGATATTTATTTGTAGTTATACGAGAGCCACAAATTCTGAAATGGATCACTTTCACAGAGAGAGAGAGAGAGAGAGAGAGAGAGAGAGAGAGAGAGAGAGAGAGAGAGAGAGAGAGAGAGAGAGAAAGAGTTCTACAATGGATTGAATTATATCCAATCTATTTCATGGTATCTGAGTTATTAAATAATTTATTTGGTTTATTGTATTGTTGAGTTGTATTCGTATTATATACCAAATGTGCATTTGGTGAAAGAACGAATTATTCCTCTAATGACATGAAGGGAAAATGAATAATAGGATACTTGGTAATTATATAACTTGTTTGGGTAACCAAGAAAAGAAAGGAAAAATAATAATCTTTATTGCCTTTATTTTCTTCCCTAGAGTAAATGCTTGAAATCGCCATAGTATTTTCATAAACATTGAAAGAATAAGAATTGTCCTAAAGGAATATATTAATCAACGATTTTTGTTACACCTCTATCCACCTGATACATCGTGTGGACAAAAGGTACTCGTGAGCCTGCCGTGCTTGCGATCCTCTGTGGTGATGTAGAGCCTCTTTAGGTTAATCTAAGGCCTCGAAAATGACACTTTCTATGGCAATGCGAAGTCTCGATATTGCCACCTTTTGGCCTTGGATGGTTTTGTCTCTTAGGTGTCAAAAGAAGCTGCTGCTTTGCCTCTTTTTTACTCCGAGGCAATGGGAGGAGACTCTACCATCTGCCATACGAGACAGGCCTCCTAAGTCTAAGGTATTATTCTTTAAGATTGAACATTTGCTAGTTTAACAAAACTTAGGTGGGATCGAATATTAGGCGTCATAGGATTGAACATTTGCTAGTTTATTGTAATTACCTGGTACTCAGTTTAAAGTTAGTGCCCAAAAGTGGGAATCGAAAGACATCTATTAAACAGAAAGAGTTTTCATGATTTTGCACTATTCGAGAATAATGATAACCAATAAATATATAAATATTTTGTTAACAAATTGACCCAAAAAAAAAAAAATCATTTTATTCCTCATCTCGCCTCAACATCAACACACTTCCAAGTCCCAAGGGCAACCGATAAGGCTCCACCTTCCCCTTATGAACCTTTTCTTTCGTCTTTTTAATTTTTTTTTTGAGAAAATTAAAACAAGTTTGTAATTGTTCTTAAATAACTCTACATTATATTTTGAATAATGTTACTTTAAAATCCATTTGGGACATTTTAGTTGACATCCTAGGATGTGTAAAAAATCTGACCATTGATTTGAATAAATGTTATTCCAATAAATGATCAGATTGCTCGCTACATTATGGGATGTCAATTGAGATGTCAGTGTAGCAAAATTGTTATATTTTATTGACGTTTTTTTTAGTTGGACTCAACTGTCATGAAAATGAAATGTTGGAGACTCATATGATTTTTAAAATTAATTAGGGACTCAAGTCCTCCTAGTGTATATGTTAGGAACTTTTGGTGCCAATTTTCCAGAAGCAAATAAAAAAATACCAAAAGAGGGTTGAAATTTTCTATGTAGGTTTAAAATTGGGTATATTACATAACCACATATGTTTCAAAATGCACTTTAAAAAAATTAAAAAATTTCAAAATAACTGATGGCTTGTATTGGAGCTTGGTGCGAATTGATTTTAGTAATTAGGTAGACCATAATGATTATCTTTATGAAATACTAGAATTGTAATAAATATTTCGAATATTGAAATACAATCGATCGATACAACTTCCTAACCTGATTAGGACAACTTCAACCCATTTCAGGTTTGCTCACGTAATAATGGAATAAGGGAAAAATGTATAACTACTAATATTTATAAATGCACTTTCAAACTTGACAAATTTGTAAAATTCTTTCAAAAATTAGGTGGTATTAATTAAATAGACAATTAGATATGATAAGGTCACAATAATATAAAATTTAAGGTCATAGTTATATACTAGCTATAAAATTAGATATGCTACGGTCACAATAATATAAAATTTATGGTCATATTTATATACTAGTTACAATCGCTGAATGTTATCGTCAGAAAGGCACAAAATGTGGATCACAATTTAAAATTTAGTCACAAATCACGTATTTTTATACTCCACAGCTTATTTATTGGTAAAAAAATTATAAAAATAATTGATTATAACTTATTATCGACAACATATTATCAAATTAACTAGTCACAATAACCCAATCAACTACCATTTATCTCCTCCTTCTCACCACCCGCTCTTCACTATTGTTGGCACCACCCAAAAAGTTGTTGCTAGGAGCGTAGGGAAGGAGCCCAGCATTGCCCTCAAGCCATTGAAATTTTAGTAGAAAAAAAATATTTTTTTGGAATTTTTTCTACGTTTCAGTCTAGTAGAATTTTATTTGTACTCTTCATGGTTTCGGCTCGGGTTGCTGCCACTTTAGATCCACAACCACCCACCACCACTACAACAAACCATTGTCACTTCCAAAGAACCACCTCCTGCACCACCAACTAAGTCGCTCACTACCGCTGTAACCACATCACCTATACCAACACCATCATCACCTCCCAGATCACTCAAACGCAACCATCACCTATCACCACCACACCAACAACCATCATCGCCACCAAGATCGGATCGACAACTACCATTGGCACTAGCATCGTGCGGTGTGTCGTTTCACAACTAACAAGTTAAGCAAAAAAATGGGACTAAATCTTAAAGGCAACCCATTCTTCACGATTACCATAACTTGCACTACTAGGAAAAGTAGCGTTTCTCCCGCTGCTTGTGAGTTCATGACTGCAGCAACTATACAAAAAGTAGCAATGACAACGACAAAGAGCATCGTTGTAAAAGCTCAAGAATAGCTAACTAAGAGGGAGGTGAATTAGTTTTCAAGACTTTTCGAAAGTTGACTCTAGATTTAAACCAATGTGATAGCAAATGAAACATTTAAACAAATATGCACAAATACACAAAAACACAAAGTTAAATAGGAACAAGTAATGAGCACAATATAAAAGCGATAAATAAAAGAGAGAGATGATGCAAACGATATACTTGTGGAGGTTCGATCCAAGGTAATAATCCACATTCTCCGCTATCAAGCTCTCCGAGACAAACAAGACCCTTTCACCATGTTGATTGACTTATGGTGTAATCCAACTCTTTGTAACGTTTTTGGTGACTTACAAATAAGGGGCACTGATTCTTATACAATGTTGAGCTTTACAGGACCTCAATACGACCCACATTATTGAGGTTTATGGAACCTCAATATGACCCACACTCTATCAAAGTGATTTTACAATAAAACCATTTCTTGATAAATAGTAAAAAATAAATTAAGAAAGAGAGGCTAAACTTCAATGAATAATAATAAATGATAGCTCAAATGTTAGATGAAATTTTTTGATGAATATGATAATTATAAGTTAGAACCAATCAATCAAAGATCAATGTAAGTTCAAAAAATCTTCTCAACAAATATCTCTCTTTAAATGAATGATAGCAATAAGTTAAGTACTAAGAGAAATAAGGAAACTTTGATAAATATGATGATTTTACAAATTTGATTCAATCAATCAAAGCTTTTAATATAAAAAGGTAAAAAGGATTATACAATATATAAGTGTAAAGACCTTCTTCAAAAATATCTCTTTCTTTTAAAATTGATATAAATAAATTAAGAACAAAGAGATATGAATATCTTTGATGAGAGAAATTGATTCAACTATCAAAGTTTTTGCTATGAAGAAATAAATAAAATGAAACAAAAATGTAAGCTCAAAGAAGATTTTTCACAAATATATTTCATAAGGAAGCTCTCTTCATATTTGGTGTGATGAATAAAAGTGAACTGATATTTATAGCAATCAAAACAAAAAAGTTCTGTCTAACCGAACGATCAAACTGGACGTTCGCGTCCGCTTGTGAAACAGACGACCAAATTAGCCGTTTTGCATCGAAAGTCAGAAGGGTTAGAAAATCTGACCATAAGTGAAACGGATGTTCGCTTGGTCAACAGGACGCCCGGTTGACCGCTGACTTTTTTATATAAACATAATTGTGATCTAAGTTCAAGTATGATTTTGAAAAATCAATCTTACTTTTGATTAAAATATTTTATGCAAGTGATAGTGAAAATAACTTTTCGTGTACAAAATGATTTTTGAGCTATTGTTATTCACTACTAAAGGTCAAAGTGTTATACCTTTACATATAATCTAGAAGGACTAGTCTTTGATCTTCCTTCGAAGTTTATTTCATGTTTGGCTCTTGAACTTCTCGTCTTGATCTTCCTTTGATTTCCTCTCATGCTCTCGATCTTAATCTTTTCTGACATTTATCTTTTAAGCTCTTGTCTCGAATGATTTGACTTGAATGCGTATCTTCCACTTTGATCTTCATTCCAAATTCGATATATAATGCGTAACTTCCACTTTGAACTATCATCACTCAAAATAAATTATTAGAAACAATATTAGGGCCTGTCTGCCTGTGATTCTTCATTGGATTATCAGTGAAAATGGAGCCGTTGAACCCAAACCATGGGTCCCACCATAGAGATGGCCAGTCAACAATGACGGCTGATGTTGATATCCAACGGGCAAATAATCCATTTTTTGGCATCCATAATTTCTACCAGACAGGGTCTTAATCTCATTTGTTATGATCAAATTATTGAGGATGAAGTCGACCATAAGTTAACACGCTGTTGCAGTGACAACAAGTATCATTTTAGTAGACGAGTTGTGCACACAGCTTCAAGTTGCAATTCCAAGGTGAATGTTGCTGCTGCCCACCTGTTGTCGTCGAAAAAAGTATGATGCATATTTTTGTTTTCCGTGACTTTTGAGAAAATAAATTAGGGTTAAGGTGGGTAGGTTGTGATGCCCAATTGGCTATATGGATACACCCGATTTTTAAAAAAAATATATGATTTAATTATTGAAATAAAAAATGGAATAATATGTGTATGTAAATGTAATTTCCTTGTGGAATAATAGGTCATGCTTACACTACAGTTAATTTTCAAAAGAATACAATTATAAAATGAAGTTTAAGGTTTCATTATTCACTAATCAGGTGTTTAATATTAACAACCATATTATAAATTAATTTAAATACACAATCTCTCTCTCTCTCTCTCTCTCTCTCTCTCTCGTATCTTTACTCTCTTAATCACTCTACCTCTATAACCATTTTTCCATACTCACTTTTTTGATAATCAACGTTGCAAGCAGAGGTAGCTAGGAATACCTTAGAGGAAGCTCCTCTAATGAAGCCTCGATTGGACAACGTTATTTGTGGTGGTTTTGTGCAAATCGTCTCTTTCATTTGCACGATAGATTTCGACTCAGGTTCGTTCATAAAGGATGCAGATGGAGGCTGCTGAAAGTTTATTATTGACGAAATTGAATGATAATCTAATATGAGGTTATTGTGTTTTGAGAGATTAGTCAAATCATTTAACTAACGGAAATCAAGAGTTGGTACTGTAATCCATTTGGTATGATCAATTGATTTTCTGGTTTGCTTTTCTTGTTGGGATTAGACATATTTGTAATGATTTTGTAGTGCTTTTGTGATAGTTTTGCGGTTGTTTTGTGGTGGAGCTAGCAATGGTCAAATGTTCATAGGATGTATATCAAATGCTGTATTGATATTCAATGGTGGTGATAGTATGTGTCATTATACGTAGGTCACTTATAAATATTGACAGGTCGTATGTAATATTGTATAGGTTACAAATCAATGTCAACATGTCACAAATCAAAATTAACTGGTCACATATCATATCTCATACATCTTTGTGCATCAATAACAAGTCACGAATTCAAGTTCACATGTTACACTACATATATTAAAGGCCACACTTTACAATTTACTGGTTACCATTCACAAGTCATGGATCATATTGTATACGTTATAGATAAACGTCAACAGATCATAGATCAATATTAATTGGTTACATATCAAATGTCATATGTCTTTGTGCACGGATAACAAGAAACAATTCACAGTCCATAGGTCAGTAGTTATTTATATATGTTACAGATAAATTATTATTGGTAATAGATGCAAGAGAATTTGTCGTGCGCCATTGAATCAATATAATAGTAACAACTCAATGTTTAAAGGTCATAGATCTAAGAGAAGTTGTCATAGCCATTGAATCAACACCACAAATAATAGTTTACACGTAATTTAAATCGCACTATAAAAAATATACAAATTGACACCTTGATCTATCCACCACCGCCTACACAACCACCGTCGTCACCACCTACCAATAATCGTCCACAAAAAATCATCGACTCCTAGATAAAAAAAATACCACAAAAAAGAAACCACCAACAATCTCTGGCCATTGCGCCGTAATCATCGTCACTCACAGAGACTTGAACCACTACACAGTTACCATTACTGTGTCTCGTTGCTCAATAGCATTGACGACGAGCACCACTATTAGAGGAAGAAGGCAGTGAAAAGAGGATAAGTAGAAGTAAAGAGTGAGTAGAGTAGAGAGAGAAGAAATTGGAGTAGATCTAGATACTAGGATGGATATTTATTAAATATATAATACTATCTTGTATATATAATATTTGTTAATTACCTCCCGAATTTTGAATTTTTAAATCTTTTCTCTTAAAATTAAATTGCAGCATAGTTAACACCTTAGGGCTGAATTACGTATTCTTCCCCATGCTTTAACCTAGCTAGGCCCAATTAACGGTTTTGTAACCCATGGAAGGAAGAAAAAAGGTGTTTCTGTAATTCCGCAGGCAATAATTAAGGGTGGTGTATTCAATTGGAATTTTTGAAAACTTTAATAAACTTTTTTTTAAGTAATAACTTATATGGATTTTTTTTTATAAATTTGTATGAATTTGAAGTCTTTCATAGATTTCTATGGACTTTTATTTGAAAGTTTTTAGACTTTTGTAAAATTTAAAAGATTTTTGAAAACTTTTATTTGAAATAAAATTCACGTAAATCTAATATATTGGTGTGAAATTCTCACATATAAGGTATTGATTCATACAATTCCCCTTTTCCTTTCCATTCTTTTTCTTCCCATATGATGAAAAAAATTAAAATAAAAAAAATTTAAGATATATATATATATATATATATA